TCAAATTTGCTATAATAGTTCAAAATTTAAAAAGTCAAAAACCACATTCCTGCCAAAATACAATAACTCCAACTCTGGTAACAGAAATCACATGCACAGAATAACCTAAATCATCCAAAACAAAAAACACAAATCACTCATCCTCTTCAAAATCAAAAGGAAACCACAACGTCTATCAAAGGCAATAAACAAGCTCCTTCAATGCCAATAGTTTCCACTAGCTAAACAACAAAACTCGAATTCTTCCTCTGCCTATGTACCTGCAATCGAGCATCTCAACAGAAACATAACTCTAGAGATTTGAAGGGAAAAGAGAGCCATGAGATAAGCAAAAGTCAATACCTCAACCTTAAAGTCAAAATCAGTGTTTATAATCGAAAAGCTAAAGGCCCTCCCATGTCAAACTAACCACATGAAAAAAACTAAAATGCAAGAAAGCATGAGCCGATGGCTTTCAGTCATAAGACAGACATATAGAAGCCTTTTCAATATTGAACCAAATCGATATAGTATCATGCATATCCTTCATATATCATAACCATAAAATTACATGACCAAGTCTGAAGACACTTGAAAAAGTATTATCAACTACCTGCCATATAGAGAAAGGGAGGCTAAGATATGTACCATGTCACCGAAAATACCTCAAATCTTTATCAAATTATGAATGTCTAGGTTGCATAGTACTCTTTGTAATGAATATCCTTATACATACCTCAAAATAAAATGAAATTTGAAAGAACAAGCCTTGGAGTGTAATACCTGAATGCTCAGATTTTGAAAAAGGAGCCTCTATCAGAAATCCTTATTTAAAAAAATCATTTTTTTGTCAAAATACCATGACAATGAAAATGTCAAAGAACACAAAATGAAAGCTATTGTAGACATTCTCTTGGCATCATCTCTTAAAACTATCAACAATTAAAAAATAAAACTTACAAGAATGATAAATATGATTCAGTTTCTAACTTACAAGAATAATTTAATTAAAATCATCTCAAACATATGTAAGCTCAGAACTTGAAGATAATCAACAGTGACAGCCATCCAATACATAAGTGCCCATGTAGTGCTTGATATGTAAGAGCTTGATCAATATCATTATAGATAGCCATGAAAATACATGAGAGTTCATGTATATTGCTATATCATAAATATTAATTAAAAAGCATGATGCATATCTACGACATACATAAGTCTCAACGCAGGTTGCATATCACAATATTTTTCATTATCATCTCTGCTTGATGTCTTAGATAGTATGAATGCATGAATGTGTCATGCTGTATAAGGAAAACTAGATGTGCTCACCAAAGTGAGGTTACCATCAAAAGAGACAAAGCACAAAAGTGTTAAGAAAAGAGATGAGCATACCTATGCTTAAATTTCATACTAATTCCAAGTTCCAACAACCAAATTCTAACAGCTCCTTAGAGCTGCTATAAAAATTTTCCCCATCAAAGCTTCAAAACAAAAATGACAACCATACAAAGAATTTAACAAATTTAAAGATCAGCATCCTTCAAACATGGATCAATAAGAACCCCCAAACCAAAAATAATAAGAATGGTCCTACAATACTTATTAAATTTTCTTACTATTTTAAAAATCATATTTCCAAAATAATTATCCATATGATAATTATTAAAAAAAGTTTAAATATTTAAAACTTGTAAAGCTGCTTGAATAATAGTTGGATAATAACAACCATATAATAACATAGTAGCATCATAAAAAAAATTGTAGCATCTCTTTTACACTTTATATAACTAACCATTCATTCTTAGTTATTCCATACATACTGCCAGAGCTACAACAAGAAGTATAAAAAGTAATAAAATTATTTCTAATTTTTTTGCACTCTATTGCTACATTTAACATTGCATAGGTAGAATTCCACCTATGGTAAACATCTTTTAGAATTAATCTGGGTTTTAATTTTTTTTCTTTTACACAATTATTTCCATCTTTTAAGTCTTTGTTCAGAAGTATTATGAGTGTAATATATTGTCCTAACACTTTCTATCATGGATTTAATTTCACCAAATACAATTTGAACAATTAAATTTAAAATATGACACATACACCTAATGTGAAAAATATCACAATGACATGATAATAGCAAAGATAATTTGATATGATTTACAACTATATTATTATTACTTACATTATCTAGTGAAAGAGAAAATATTTTTTCTAAAATTTCTAATTTTATAAGTTCTTCTATTAGTAAATTTTCAATATTAATACCACTATGTGAATATTCAAATTCAATAAAAGAAATAATTATTTTAAGAATTTGCCAATTATCATCAATTCAGTGTGCTATAATACATAAATAACCAGTTTGTGCTCTAGATGTCCAAATATCATAAGTTAAAGAAAATTTACAGTTTAAATTTTGATAATAAGAAATTATTTTTGCTTGTTCCTCGTGATAATATTTCAAAGTATCACGTTGACAAGATTGACGAGATTTTTTTTTTTAAACACGGGACAAAAACCATCTATACTTATATCTTCAAATTCATCATCTTCTACTAATTTAAAAGAAAGATTTTTAAGAATAATAAACCTGATGACGCATTTCCTGGCTTTAATTGCGTTATAGTTTCATCTACCGAGACTGCCGGAGGATGATGATTAGGAGAGTAAAGATTATCGGATATCACCTTAAGGCGTTGCCTGACCTCTATTGTGCTTTTCTAAATGGCGTTTGAGGTGGTTGGTGTTGCTTTTATGATGAGCTTGGAAAATATGGTCGCACAACGCACACTTAGCCTTCTGGGTGAGAAGTCTATTGTGTTGATCCCTGATCACTTCTATCTTCTTGAAGAAGTTCCACACATCGAATCTCAGCTTTTTAGGAGCTCTAGGTGCAAAATCATCGTCACCGGATTCGTGATCAACATCAATAGGAGAAGTAACTGTAACTCCTATAGTAGGATCATTTGGACTCATTTCAACATCGAGAGTTGGGATTTGCCCTTCATAATCGGAGGAGAAATCCATTTGATTGAAGAATTAGAGAGTAAAAGCGAGAATAAGAAAGTATTAGAGAATAGTAGATGAATTTTGGATGAGAAAAATAAATAAAAACTCCCTCTATTTATAGAGGCAGCCCCCTAGTCAAATAACCAAAATATCCTCAAAATTCGGCTGTTTTTCGACCGTTTTTGGAGGAGAGATAACCTACCCACGACCTAGCCATCTATTCGCTAGGCTGGCACCGGGAATTCACGGGGTCCGGGTGCGGGCACGCGGGAGGAGGCTCGGGCCCGGGCAGCCGAGCTCAG